GCTATGACAAGTAGCTGGCTATGGGCTATGACAAGTAGCTGGCTATGGGCTATGACAAGTACCTGGCTATGGGCTATGACAAGTACCTGGCTATGGGCTATGACAAGTAGCTGGCTATGGGCTATGACAAATACCTGGCTATGGGCTATGACAAGTACCTGGCTATGGGCTATGACAAGTACCTGGCTATGAGCTACGACAAGTACCTGGCTATGGGCTATGACAAGTATCTGGCTATGGGCTATGACAAGTAGCTGGCTATGGGCTATGACAAGTAGCTGGCTATGGGCTATGACAAGTAGCTGGCTATGGGCTATGACAAATACCTGGCTATGGGCTATGACAAGTACCTGGCTATGGGCTATGACAAATACCTGGCTATGGGCTATGACAAGTACCTGGCTATGTGCTATGACAAGTAGCTGGCTATGGGCTATGACAAATACCTGGCTATGGGCTATGACAAGTAGCTGGCTATGGGCTAAGACAAATACCTGGCTATGGGCTATGACAAGTACCTGGCTATGGGCTATGACAAGTACCATGCTATGGGCTATGACAAGTAGCTGGCTATGGGCTATGACAAGTAGCTGGCTATGGGCTATGACAAGTAGCTGGCTATGGGCTATGACAAATACCTGGCTATGGGCTATGACAAGTACCTGGCTATGGGCTATGACAAGTACCTGGCTATGGGCTATGACAAGTAGCTGGCTATGGGCTATGACAAATACCTGGCTATGGGCTATGACAAGTACCTGGCTATGGGCTATGACAAGTACCTGGCTATGAGCTACGACAAGTACCTGGCTATGGGCTATGACAAGTACCTGGCTATGGGCTATGACAAGTAGCTGGCTATGGGCTATGACAAGTAGCTGGCTATGGGCTATGACAAGTAGCTGGCTATGGGCTATGACAAATACCTGGCTATGGGCTATGACAAGTACCTGGCTATGGGCTATGACAAGTACCTGGCTATGTGCTATGACAAGTAGCTGGCTATGGGCTATGACAAATACCTGGCTATGGGCTATGACAAGTAGCTGGCTATGGGCTAAGACAAATACCTGGCTATGGGCTATGACAAGTACCTGGCTATGGGCTATGACAAGTAGCTGGCTATGACAAGTACCTGGCTATGACTAGTACCTGATTCAAATAGAAAGCACCAGATCCTGAACTTACGGAATATTAGGTGAAAGATTAAAAGGAATTCAAAGCGTTCACACAGGTCTTGTAAAATAAATGCCTATCAGTGTTTCTTCCAGACTTTTTTCTCCGGATTGCACTTGAAATTTTCGGGGGGGGGGGGGGGGGGGGGGCTGACAACAATTTCCGGAGAGGGGGGCGGACACTGTCAAAAGTATATATTTTCTATATAAATTCCATTTCGTTCGGGGGGGGGGGGGGGGGAGGGAGGGGGTGGTAGACTTTCTTCGAAGAGATGCCTGGAAGAAACTCTGATGCCAATAAAGAGAAGACCTGTCATGTTGAGGATGTAGTAGCGCAGCTAGGTAAAATAGTCGATGTATTGGCTAGCACATTAGAATTATGAAGGGGAAGAATGGGACAGGTCAAATACAAAATGTAACTTGTTTAAAGGGTTAAAGTAGGGTTTGAAACATCAAGGGATTTCGTTTATTTGTGTTAGACGAGGATATGTGTGGAGGAAGGATGATAGTAGACGCCAAAGTAAGAGAATAACCACTGTTTTTAAAAAAAATATATTGTATGTCATGAAATATGAAAGGATGTGTTGTTATAGATACTGTTGATATTACGGTTAGAGCTTTTGTGTGGACACAAAAGAAAGATTGTCGGGGAGTAATGTAACTAGGGGAAGTTACGGGCCAATAGTGGTGGGGACATCGCAACCACCCGCGGACATTACCTGTACCCATTTATACACCGGGGCGTGGCCAGAGTGACCGCACCTGCCGGGGCCGTGAGTAGTATCAACAGGTAATTTACGTCGCACGGGACGAGATTCAGTGTGATGTACGGGGAAGACGGACTGGTACTTTGATAGATAGGACATGACTTATCGACATTCAGGAATATTGGCAGATGCCAGGGGTAGCCAATAAATACGGACCCATCGACACACGACAGGACATTATAACTAGAGGTACACGAGAGACTGTAGACTAGACTTTGGTCGTGGTACGAGTTAGAAATCCAGACCAAGTTAGAAGAAACCAGTACGGACGTGCTTACTGTGACCGGACTTAGGGGTGAGTAAGATTGTACGTAGCTATCATTGTTAGTGAATACGTTGTGAATGTAGTGTATGAATTGTGAATGTTGTGTCTTAAAGAACGTTGTTAGTTGATACATTGGGATGTTGAGCATGAAAGTACGTTGTTAATAGGTTATTAGAGTGAAAGACTAGCTGATGAATGTGATGATTAATCTTAATTTATTGTTTATTTCTTTACAGACTTTGGAGGTCTGTTGGTTTTTTTTTGTTTTTTGTTTGGTTTGGTTATTACCACAATAAAGTGATCGAACCTACCATCGAGTAGAGGAAGTCGGTGTTACCTCATTGGTTACACACACACACACACATACACACACACACACACACATATATATATATATATATATATATATATATATATATATATATGTGTGTGTGTGTGTGTGTGTGTGTGTTAGGGGTTCGTCGAGGTTATAAAGCTATTCTGATATCCCACTTCTGACACCAAAATGTAAGGGGGGATTTTCCGATTTTCGGGAAAGAGAGAGATGGTAAGATGGTATTGTTCTCTCATATCCGTGCATTCCCTTATGAAACAGGGAAGGTTTACCAGACCTGAGCAAAACTAATTACTACACACACAGTTTACAACATTAACATTAAGCTAAAAAATAAAACTTAGTAAACACACATAATATGCATTTATTTAACTTCATCCTACTTCACAAAAATGTATTTTACAAGCAAAAAAAAAAAAAAAAAAAAAAGAATACAAATAAGACCTGGCCAGTCTTCATAATTAAGGAAACATCCCTCGAATTCTTAATACATGTGAAAAATAACAAATAAATCACTTACACTTTTAGATACAACCACAATTTTATCCTTTCATGAATTTATATGAGTTCCTTACACGACCCAGTTCGTCACACACAAAAGGCAGGGTGATTCCCCAGCCACAAGGACAACATATCCGTCCTCCAAAACAAACATCTGGCCCCAGAGTGAGACATTTGGCCACTGGATCGAGACATCAGGCCACGAGCATAATATCGGGCCACAAGAACGAGACATCAGGCCACGAGCATAATATCGGGCCACAAGAACGAGCCATCAGGCAACGAGCATAATATCGGGCCACAAGAACGAGACATCGGGCCACTGGCTCGAGACATTGGGCCACTGGCTCGAGACATCAGGCAATGAGCATAATATCGGGCCACGAGCACAATATCGGGCCACCGGAACGAGACATTTGGCCACTGGTCTCTACATCAGGTCACATATGTACAGGAACAAGGCGTTGGGCCGCTGGTGTAAACACCAGGCCATATCAACCATACCTCAGCCGGGCCACTAAACCAGCCTCTGCGGCTAGCCTTAGGTTGCCATCATAAGGCCTAGACTGGTCTCTAGCCCTAGCTTGGTGTGTAAGAGAGATAGAGAGAGCACACCACCATCCTCTTATATATGCTGAATCAAACCAAACTTTCCCATCACCCCAAACCACCAGTTTGATCCTATCTGACACAGGTCCCATAACTTAAACGAGGCGACCGTTGGGGAGACAGGGCATTAAATTGAAACACAATTGGGTGCTCACACCTAGGGTCCGGTCAAGCTGATCTCCGGCCACAGTCCACGAATGTGACCGCTCGTAAATTTACCTGGTGACACCCCAAGCAGATCAGCGTGCCGTGAGACTCGAACGCCATCTCGTGAGAAGTGGTGGGGGACATTAGCCCGAGCCAGCTACTACTCAACAACAAAACTATAACCACAAAAAAAAAAAACAAGCAACCTATTTACACAAATAAAATAACCAACTAATAATAGAGTACCAGCCAACATATATATATATATCTATCTATATATATATATATATCTATATATATATCTATATTTTATATATATATATATATATATATATATATATATATATATATATATATATATATATATATATATATAAAAGTAAGTATGTATATACGCATGTGTATATGTATTCACATATTTTTTTATTTATTTAATTTTTTTACTCCCCCCCATACATGGATTAACATATAAATTATTACGATGCTTAACAAAAAAAGTTTACTAAAGACATACTTTGCAACGTTGAGTTAATGTAACTTCCCCCCCCCCCCCACAGCGATTGCTTTAAACTGTGCTCAGATATAATATTAATGAATTTTATCTATTGTCGGCTACAAATACAGCTTGATATAGTATGATTATCATTAGCAGGTTTACGTCTTGGTGTCCCCCCCCCCCCACCCCTTCTCCTCCACCCTTGTCGGGATTTGTCAGGTTAGCTCTTAAAAGAGACTATTTAACACTTTAATCAATAATTTAACTAAGTGAAATTATCATTTTTCTGTATATATTTTTTTTGCCTTGGTGTCACCCCCCCCCCCCTAAATGGTGTCACCCGGTGCGGTCCGCACCCCCCCCCTCGCTACGCCCCTGGAAGTAGTCTAAATTATCATTTTGCACAAAATCTTCACTAAAATCAATTAAAAAAACCATTCATACCTTGATGAAGTAGATCTTACACTGAAATAAGATAAAACGTTTGAATAACTATGCAATTTTTTTAAACCTTTATAAAATGTAGATCTTTATTGCAGGCTCATAGCCCTATAGTCTTAAGGCCCTAAATCTATTTTTTAAAAAGAAACTGTAACCATGTCATAACTAAACAATAGTAATTTGAGCATTCAACCATTCTTCTATGTTAAATATATTCAGATAATCAATAGCAAATCTAGAAATTGAAATAAACAACAATAGCGAAGAAGTTGCAACAGATACATAATTTTAATTTAAGCATTTCTAAATTACTAAGTTAAAAATCCGACCCAGTAGCACAGAAGTGATTTTTGTTGTTAAAGAGTTTCACTTCGCGGTAGATAAAAGATGTTTTCTAAAAGACGACTGCCTTGGGCTGATTTCTGCAGCTTGATTAACTAAAAAGAAAAAAATCTCTCGGTCAGTTATTGATTCGAGTTGTCCACATTTGCTGTAGTTTATACTCATTTTATAAACCGGCCATGTTGTATTGATCTCCACCAAAAATTGAGCGCGATTTTTAAATTTTAGTATCAAGCTGTGTGTCTAGGAACAAGGACCTTGTATACTTTTACAAGTGGTGACATTTGAGTCATATTCATAGTAAAAAATTATTGCCCGCCAAAAGGGTAAAATATCCAGTTGAAAAGTTTGCGTCCTCGGAAAAGTATAGTGAACTATAGTTGATTATTTTCACGTAACAAAACATCATTTTTGTTTGATTTTATTTGAAGCTTTAGCAGCAGCTTGTGATTTTCGGTTGTTCTTGCTGGTGGTTGTTTTTTTCTTCAAAGTTAACCCGGCAAACATCTGAGCAGTGGTTAGTTGGTTGCCAGGGAAACGCGCTGGGGTTGGGGTATTCCTCGTCAGGGATTTGTTGGGGGTCACGGAGACTGATCGGGAGGCGACGACTTTACTGGGTTGTTTTAGAATCGATTTAGGCGTTGTTGTTTCCGCGGTGAAAGATTTAGCAGACTTGACCCTTTTGTTTTTAATGCTGTTTTCCCGACCGGATAGATTTTCTTTCTCTCCAGCCATCTCGTAGATTTCACGCGAGACCCGGCAGCTTTGACTTTTTTGAGGTCGGATCTGGCCGGTAGATCTGTCGAAGGCCCCGCGTTTATCGGTGGGGGACTTGACGCTCGTGGTCGATGTAGGCTGGTACGGTTGGTACTTGGATAAAACTTTCACCTTCTTCCCCCCTTCTCCCGCTATACTCTGCTGCCACATTTTATTTAAATCTTTGACAAACTCAAAAACGTTTCCTATTTTGTATTCATCGAGCTTCTCTTTCTTCCGCGAGCAGCTGGCCGCGCGATGCACCATCTTCCCCTGGCTCCTCTTGTCGCGCAGCGATACAACAGCGTCCGATGTTGGCCGAGACAGAGCGTTACGTACGGGTGAGCAGCTTCCGCCCTTCGGATCTCTCTTCTTCAGATTTTTAAACGGACAACTTTCTTTGGGTGTTTGCCCCCTACTGTTTTCCGATGTCTTTTTATCGCTTGTTTTATGTGCAAGGGAAGGGTTGTAGGTGCAGTTGTTATACTGGAAGTTGTTGCCGCCCAGGTACGAAGCGTCCACAGAGGAACCCGTAGCGTGTAAGTTACGGGATGGCTCATTGGGTGCAGAGGTAGATTTTCCCATGGGGGTGTGTCCTCGCGTGCTGGACCATTCCACTCGCGTGGATATAGGGGTGAAATGTGGCGACGAATATCTCCTACGCCCTTCTAACTCACTCGAGCCGAAGTTATGCCCCGTTACAAACCTTGAAGAGTAAGGAATGTCATGGGCCCGCGAATGGAAGGGAGTAGTTGATATCATCGCGTCAATGTTCCGTAGTCTCTGTCTTTCTGCTTGTAAGGAGAAGCCCAGGGCGTCTGAAGTCGATCCAACGTGACTGTTGAATGGATACTGTGAACCCGTGCCCCAAGATGACGGCAAAGTTTTAGCCATTTCCCCGTAGTAAACCGTGCCGTGGTACTTGTTCGTGTCAGGCACCGGCTTGACGTAGTCGACGCTGGTTTGTTTAGACGTACCACTACCCGAAGGTTCGAGAACAATTTCCGATTTCTTAGACTCGACTGAGCTGTACTTGCTGGTAGTCGGCTTGAGGGTGATGTCCCCGGAGTACGGCCCGACTTTGCCGAGGTCGGTGATGGAGGTGTAGCGCTGAGAGGTGGTGGACATGCTCCTGTAGTTGATGGCCGTGGAGTAGTCGACCGAGGAGCCGAAGTTCCTCATATCGTGTTCCTCCTCGGGAACCGTCTCGTTGTTCTGCGAGACATTGTTGATGCCCACCACGGACTGCGGTCCCTCTTCTACCGATGTGCTCGAACCCTTGGGGATATCGATACTACTTGAAAAGTTGTTGCTTCTGATCGATATTTCGCTGTAAGTACCTAATGTTTCTGGGTGGTTGTTGTTTACGGTGTGTCCTATACGGCTTAAACTTAAGGTATCGATACTACCTGGTGGGAATTTGGAGCTTTCGTTGTTGGCCGAGACGTTCATGTAGCCAAGAGAAGACGAGAGATAGCTGCGTGTGTAGGAGTCAGCGGAAGAATAAGGCCTGGAGCTGACCCCGTAGTCCCTCATGATGTCGTCGATAGAACGACCCCCGCCACCTGAACTGGGCTTGAACTCTCGGGACAAAAACTCGGACTGGAGAGTGGACTTTAACTTTAGACCTAACTCACTGGACTCAAAACTGAAATCTTGTCTAGACACGGTGCCAGAGGACGAGCCGGACTGGGTGCCGTTGGTGGTCTCAGATGGCGAGTGTGTTGGCGAGTTTGTTGGCGAATTGTTCATCTCAGGCTGGCTGCTCTCCCCTTGAACGCTGTCAACATCCGGCGCTATGGTTTCGCCGTTCGAATATTTCCCACTTTTGACATCCCGCATGAAATCATCTACGTTGAACTTATCTTTATTTGAGCTGGATACGATGCTGCTAAAGTTTGACGTGTAGCACCCGTTGAGCGGCTTGTCATAGAATGTTCCAGAATTGGACCGGTTGTTAAAGTAATTGCTTTCGTACGAGCCCGACTTTGGCGTGTATTCTATGAATTGAGCCGGCGAGTTAAATTTATCCGAACTAAAACTTTCAGGTCCAGGCGTGTTTGTGCTGCGGCCTCGGGTGCTGTCGCTAATTTCTTTCTGGTCTGTTAAGGCTGTCTTCTGGAACTCCCCGCTGCCCGAGTCCCACGGGCCGGAACTTGGTTTGTTTGTGTGTGTAGCCGAGGGTTGACAGGGTTCCGGAGAGTGCACGTTGTCGGCCAGGCAAAGCTCAAGCCCCTGTCTGCTGTCCATGGACTGCTGTACAGCGGTGGCAGACATCGTTGGCAAGCTGGTGACGTTCACGTCGTGGTCTGACTCGAGTGTCTGGACGGGTGGCCACCTCTGCTACAGAAGTGACGAGGTCAGCGCCGCGCTCGGCTGCCTGGACACCAGACGTTGTCTTTACCAAACATGTCCCAAACCTCACGGTAAGAGTCTCCTGGGGATAGAGGGGAAAACATGAGGATCACTGGGGATGGAGAAAACATGAGGATCACTGGGGATGGAGGGGAAAAATGAGGATCACTGGGGATGGAGGGGAAAACATGAGGATCACTGAGGATGGAGGGGAAAACATGAGGATCACTGGGGATGAGGGGAAAACATGAGGATCACTGGGGATTCAGGGGAAACATGAGGGTCACTGGGGATGGAGGGGGAAAACATGAGGATCACTGGGGATGGAGGAGAAAACATGAGGATCACTGGGGATGGAGGGGGAAAAAACATGAGGATCACTGGGGATGGAGGGGGAAAAACATGAGGATCACTGGGGATGGAGGGGAAAACATGAGGATTACTGGGGATGGAGGGGAAAACATGAGGATCACTGGGGATGGAGGGGAAAACATGAGGATCACTGGGGATGGAGGGGAAAACGTGAGGGTCACTGGGGGTGGAGGGGAAAATATGAGGATCACTGGGGATGGAGGGGAAAACATGAGGATCACTGGGGATGGAGGGGAAAACATGAGGGTCACTGGGGATGGAGGGGAAACATGAGGATAACCAGGGGATATGGATTTGGGATTGAGGGAATTACAGACACTTGAAATTGAGGAGAAGAGCGTAAATGGGGAATGGGGAAATAAGAACCATTGGGGATTCTGAAGCACCATTTGCGGGGACGGCGTGGCCGGATGATAGAGCTTACGACTGCTAACCCGGAAGCATCAACGTAGGACGTTTAACGAGTCTAATGGATACCTGACTCACGTTAGGAAAACATAGGCGGCTGGGCCTAGTGCTGACCACACTATCCTGATCCTTTTATGACCAGCTCATTCAAACAGATGAACTCTACTTCATCTGCTCCGTGTGTCGTGGGAACGAATGGTAAAAGATGATGGTTACGTGCTAGTGCTATCAAATCTACAGAGGATAAGGGTTAAGGTTCGGGTTGCAGCTAGAGTTAAGTCAGGGGGGTACATAAACATTGATGGCATACATCATACAGATACTGCAGGGTAATACTGTCCTAGGATTAGGGTTAACTTGACTATCGCACATCCTAGTGTCAGAGTGCCATATGACATGTCACTGATTAAACTGCCATCTGGTTTATATTTATATCACTACCAGGAGAAAAATATTCCACCATTTTAGTGCCTCATCTAAAAGATAACATAACTCAACACTACAAGTCTGCAGGGGGTGGGGTAGCAGTGGCGTAGGCAGGGGGGGGATTAGGGGGGGTCATAACCCCCCCCCCCATAGACCCCTCGGTATAGATATATAAAGTATGAGGGGGGGGGGGGTGAAAATCGAAAGTTTGAGAGGGGGGGGGGGTGCAAATCGAAAGTTTGAGGGGGGGGGTGCAAATCGAAAGTTTGTCCCCGGGTAAAAATTGGAACCCCCCCCATTGAGACTATCCTGGCTACGCCACTGTGGGGTAGAAATGACTTTTGAAACGTGTAGAGGCTGTTCTAAATATAGAGTGTTTTTCTGTCTTCTTCTTCTTTGTTCTTAATTGTATTTTTGCCAGAGGATTTAAACAACAAGCCCAACTTCGTGTATGAACTGGACTGTGGTCTCCAGATCTGTGGGTGCCCCATATAGTTTCTCCTTGAGTGGGGTGTATAGGGGCCAGTGTTTAGAACGTGCCGGGTTGTACAAGGAGCAGTCCTGTAGGACGTGCTCTGCATTCTCCGATTTATTTGGTCATTAAACATTCAATACCACGTGACGTATGCGAATAATATAAATACAAAACTGGGCTTTGTTAAATGAAAACTGCTTCATATAATTTGTTCCATTAATTTTTTATTCAGCTGCCGTTTAATTTTAATGTAAGGGAAGTAAGCAGTATTATTCGTCTTATATTACTGTACTTGAATAGGCCGATTTCAACGTTTAAAAGCACAAGAACGCTATCCCTTCGATAGCTATTCCATTAAGAATTAAGAATCTTTATGTCAACACTTTAAAATATTACCTCACATTAACAGAGCATAATAGTTTTCTCTGTTTGGCTTCTAGATGAGAATAATAAATTTTCAAAAGACAATATAAAAATAATCTGAAATATTTTTATTGGGGATAAAAAAGCAATTTGGCATCGCAAATCGCTTTCTCGTGTTATTTTTTTTTTATTCGATAAAACGAAAAACAAAACTACGCTAAAATATATTTTCTTGCCTCATTGTTGAAGTAGTTAATTATTCATTACAAACTTCTGCTTGAATTCATAATGCAAATTGCGAATTCCGTGGTGCACTTAATGTGGTAACTTAAAACAGCATTCATGACGTAGATGATCATCAGCTAAAATGGTTGAGTCTATTTGTTTGATACATTTATGTCACATGAAGAAGATCATAAGCTAGAATGGTTGAGTCTATTTGTTTGATACATTTATGTCACATGAAGAAGACCTTAAGTTAGGATGGTTGAGTCTCTTTGTTTGATACATTTATGTCACATGAAGAAGACCTTAAGTTAGGATGGTTGAGTCTCTTTGTTTGATACATTTATGTCACATGAAGAAGACCTTAAGTTAGGATGGTTGAGTCTCTTTGTTTGATACATTTATGTCATATGAAGAAGACCATAAGCTAGAATGGTTGAGTCTCTTTGTTTGATACATTTATGGCACATGCTTTGTGTTCCGTTCATATTTGTTACTTGGATAAAGAACATCTTTACTCTGTGACATTTAAAACAATTTCGTTTGTCTTTTTCAATTTCCGCTTTTAAAAACACGGCCCTCTTAATATAACAATACATTTAACACAGAAAAAAACATCATTAATCATCCGTGCATCTGTAACATAGGTCTATCTGTCAGCAACAAAGATCTTTCGTGTGTAGATCTAGACAATCCAGACCTAGAATCCAGCATCCCACTGTTTATATCTCGAGTCGAATCCGGGTTCAAGTACGTACAATGTCCCTGAGTCCACCCAACTCTAAACAGCTCTAATGGGTACCTAACGTGAGTTAGGGAAAGTAAAGGCTGCTGGGTACAGTGCTGACCACACTATCCTTTCATAAGCCGAGGTCACAGAATCGTGTGAACTCTACTTCACTTGCCCTATGGACCGTCGTGTTCGAAAGAGAATATACCTTATTTTTTTACTGTTTAGATCTAGATCTATGTGTTGATAAAAGTCTATTGCATCTAGACGTCTAGATCTACATCTATTCTATAGAATCTAGATCTAGATCTAGATTCTCTAGATCATCTAGATAGATCTAGATGTAAAATCCAGATCTAGACTAGACTCTAGATCTAGAAATCTAGATCTAGATCTAGATTAGATCTAGATCTATATCTAATAGGGCCTATGTAACCAGTCTTTTGTTTTGAACAACAATCACGTCTAGATCTAGAGCCTCTGTTCTTTCAATACACGAAAGTAATTCTAAATTTCATCAAAAGGTTAATTAAAAAGAGAAACAAAGGGTTCACTTACCGCATCTAGGTGGGGTTAAAGCACTTGAGATGTTATTTTACTGTTTGCCAAAATTGGACCGCTTCCGGTGCAGCCATGGCATCATGACGTTAGATGATGACGCACGAAGTTTCTGTGTAGGTTTCGCACCAATGGCGGTGTTATTGGAAACTACTAGACAAGGGTTACCTTACTTAATGGGAAATAAATTCATACACAGTGAAATAAAGAACGAAAATAAAATGCGTAGGTCTTATTTAATGTTTTAAATTTTAGATACCTAAAGAAAAGACAATTTCATTCATTTTTTGCCATTTTTTAGTACTGGGTCGAGCACTAGTAGAAATACGACTGTTCAGTGACGGTGCTCATTGGTGCGCCATTGTTTTGTTTACACTTGGTGATAGACTGGCGCTAATGAATGAAAAGAAAAGGCCATAGTGTTGAATTATTAGGGAATAACATTTTTGTGTGTCATTGAACCATAACCTATAGTTTACTACACCCAATAAATATCCCAGTCTGTAAAAGTTGGTATCCAGTGTTAATAAGACTTGACTTAATACTAATAGTGCTAGAAACAAATCTTCATTATACTTAAGTTTCATAGTTTCATTCTAATAGAGAGATTGAAAAGAGAGAGAGAGAAAGAGAGATAGAGGGAAAGAGGGAGAGAGAAAGAGGGAGGGAGAGAGAAAGAGAAAGAGAAAAGAGAATAACACGCTGTACATATTTGCAATTAAATAGGGGAGGTAATAGCGTTAAGGCTAAAATAAAAATTAATAAGATGATTATGTCCCATGTAACATTAAAAAACAGACTTTTTTTAGGTACATTAAAAATATTAGTTGACAGCCACCGTCTGTACACCTAGTTTTGTACAAACATCGTGTGTACACCTAGTTTTGTACAACTACCGTCTGTACACCTATTTTTGTACATCCATCATGTTGTACACCTAGTTTTGTACAACCACCGTCTGTACACCTAGTTTTATACACCTATCATGTTGTACAAGCAACTCTTGACAAGATCCTGCCAATTGTAAAATAAATATTTGTACCTGTCTAAATCACCGTTTGAACACAGTTTTTCAGATACTTAATAGCTCTGAGAGTCTACGTCTTCTTTACCGGTCATCCGTTAGTAATTAAGCAATTAACGTTAATTCCCCAAATCACAGTACAAACGATACACACTATCAACAATTAGCGTTAATTACCATACTTACGGAAAGCCTTTACATTTAAAACTAGAAGATTCAATAAATCGATGAAGATATGAAAAAATTCCAAATAGAAAATATTTCAAATCCCCGGGATGACATGCACATCTTTAACAATAAACTTTAAAAAACAACAACAAAACTACTGTCGGAAATATTTAACAAAGACGTCTCGAATAGTGATAGATAGTACTTCTTAAAATTAGAAACATAATTTCCGTGGTGTTGTTTTCAAGACAAGAAGTAAAGCCTCTAAGTCTAAGTTCGGTGCAAATACAGCTCCTTTATTGTTCGGTGCTAATACAGCTCCTTTATTGTTCGGTATAAATACAGCTCCTTTATTGTTCGGTACAAATACAGCTCCTTTATTGTTCGGTACAAATACAGCTCCTTTATTGTTTGGTGCAAATACAGCTCCTTTATTGTTCGGTATAAATACAGCTCCTTTATTGTTCGGTACAAATACAGCTCCTTTATTGTTCGGTACAAATACAGCTCCTTTATTGTTAGGTACAAATACAGCTCCTTTATTGTTCGGTGCTAATACAGCTCCTTTATTGTTCGGTACAAATACAGCTCCTTTATTGTTCGGTGCAAATACGGTTTCTTTATTGTTCGGTGCTAATACAGCTCCTTTATTGTTCGGTATAAATACAGCTCCTTTATTGTTCGGTGCTAATACAGCTCCTTTATTGTTCGGTGCTAATACAGCTCCTTTATTGTCCGGTACAAATACAGCTCCTTTATTGTTCGGTGCTAATACAGCTCCTTTATTGTTCGGTACAAATACAGCTCCTTTATTGTTCGGTACAAATACAGCTCCTTTATTGTTAGGTACAAATACAGCTCCTTTATTGTTAGGTACAAATACAGCTCCTTTATTGTTCGGTACAAATACAGCTCCTTTATTGTTCGGTACAAATACAGCTCCTTTATTGTTCGGTACAAATACAGCTCCTTTATTGTTCGGTGCTAATACAGCTCCTTTATTGTTCGGTACAAATACAGCTCCTTTATTGTTCGGTGCTAATACAGCTCCTTTATTGTTCGGTATAAATACAGCTCCTTTATTGTTCGGTGCAAATACGGTTTCTTTATTGTTCGGTGCTAATACAGCTCCTTTATTGTTCGGTGCTAATACAGCTCCTTTATTGTTCGGTATAAATACAGCTCCTTTATTGTTCGGTACAAATACAGCTCCTTTATTGTTCGGTGCTAATACAGCTCCTTTATTGTTCGGTGCTAATACAGCTCCTTTATTGTTCGGTGCTAATATGGCTCCTTTATTGTTCGGTATAAATACAGCTCCTTTATTGTTCGGTGCTAATACAGCTCCTTTATTGTTCGGTATAAATACAGCTCCTTTATTGTTCAGTACAAATGCAACTCCTTTATTGTTAGGTACAAATACAGCTCCTTTATTGTTCGGTATAAATACAGCTCCTTTATTGTTCGGTACAAATACAGCTCCTTTATTGTTCGGTGCTAATACAGCTCCTTTATTGTTCGGTACAAATACAGCTCCTTTATTGTTCGGTGCTAATACACCTCCTTTATTGTTCGGTGCTAATACAGCTCCTTTATTGTTCGGTATAAATACAGCTCCTTTATTGTTCGGTGCTAATACAGCTCCTTTATTGTTCGGTATAAATACATCTCCTTTATTGTTCGGTGCTAATACACCTCCTTTATTGTTCGGTACAAATACAGCTCCTTTATTGTTCGCTTCAAATACGTTTCTTTATTGTATCTTTAAAATACGCAGAGATCAAGAACACATGTTAGTTCTACAACATGCGTAGGTCTGAAAAATTATTTCTAAAAAAAGTGATAATTTCAGGGTGTCAACAGCTTCACATTGGTTGTAAAATAATAAACCTTCTTAACATCTATCTATATATATAATTCTCTTCTGGGAGACGCTAGAAAACAAGCTGTAAACGCGCTCCCTACCATCCCCACCCCTACATATTCTTAATGAGCTGTGGTTCACGCTATGTTTACCTTCGTGGAGTCGGGTTTAGTGACGGCTATTAGGGGCAGATAATTTATTTTGAAACGATTTTAAACGTTGGGAGGGGGGGGGGAGGAGAAGGAAAGGGGGGGTTATGGTCCTTAACGAGCTACTTATAGTGTTTTAAAGAAATATTTTCAGTGTCAGCGTTGGTACTGTCGAATTCACAAATTATGAATTACTGAAAAGTAGAAAAAAACAACAACTAAATAGCGGCGTATGTTATGCCGCGGGCCGGCTCGTATATATAATTCTCTTCTGGGATCAGTTAGAAAACAAGCTGCAAGCGCCTCCTTGCAGTCCCCTCTCTTTCTCTCTATCTCTATCACTACCACCCCCACCCCACCCCCATATTGTCTGGTGAGCTGTGGTCACGCTGTTTACATTTTACAATCATAGAGACGGGTTTGGTGACGGATATTAGGGGAAGATAATTTAGTTTGAAACGATTTTAATATTCTTAGTTACCTCCTCTAAGTTTAAAAATTTTAAACTTAGAGGAGGTAACTAAGAGGAGGCTGCTTTCACGTGGGGGGGGGGGGGGGGAAGGGGTTTAGTGTTTTTAAGCAAATAATTTCAGTGGCAGCATTGGTACTGTCAAATTCACAAATTATAAATTACTGAAAAGTAGAGAAAAAAAAACAACTAAATAGCGGCGTATGATACGCAGCGGGTCGGCTCGTAACTGATAACGAGCTTGATCACGTGTCGTTAGTAATGATAACTTTTAATTTCTTTAAACTGAGACAAAAGATACATTTCCCCCATGGCATTTAAAACCGTAATGGGAGGAGCAGAACACTGATTGTGTGTGTGTGTGTGTGTGTGTGTGTGTGTGTGTGTGCGTGTGCGTATCAGTGTTTCTTCCAGACTTTTTTCAGAGATGCCTGGAAGAAACTCTGGTGCGTATTGTTAGGGGTGGTGGTAGTAAAAAACCCAGGATGTGAATTAATTTGTGTGTGTCCAGTACTGTAACATTCAAGATTGTATCACAACATTCATGGGATCCACATAGTTATTTTACCAGGCCATCCTGAATTCCCACAATGCCAGAATTTTTTACAGGCCATCCTGGCATCCCACAATGCCAGATTTCTCTACAGTCCATCCTGGCATCCCACAATGCCAGATTTTTCTACAGTCCATCCTGGCATTCCACAATGCCAGATTTTTCTACAGTCCATCCTGGCATCCCACAATGCCAGATTTTTCTACAGTCCATCCTGGCATCCCACAATGCCAGATTTTTCTACAGTCCATCCTGGCATCCCACAATGCCAGATTTCTCTACAGTCCATCCTGGCATCCCACAATGCCATATTTTTCTACAGTCCATCCTGGCATTCCACAATGCCAGATTTTTCTACAGTCCATCCTGGCATCCCACAATGCCAGATTTTTCTACAGTCCATCCTGGCATCCCACAATGCCAGATTTCTCTACAGTCCATCCTGGCATCCCACAATGCCATATTTTCTACAGTCCATCCTGGCATCCCACAATGCCATATTTTTCTACAGTCCATCCTGGCATCCCACAATGCCAGATTTTTCTACAGTCCATCCTGGCATCCCACAATGCCATATTTTTCTACAGTCCATCCTGGCATCCCACAATGCCAGATTTCGTCACGCGGATATTCCACGGCAGGTTTTTCGGCCGGCCTTTCTTAAACACGATTTGCTCAAATTAACCGGACTTAGCCGGTTTAATGCCGGCTTTTTCTCAGACAAATTTGTTTGAGAATTCCATAAGCTCCGTGACATGCCCGTACAAACCCAGCTCTCGAGGCCCCGATGTTTGGGTGCCGGTCGCTCACGTGCACACGGCTGCTGTGAGCAAACCAAGACGTCGACTTAGAAATCTTGAGGCCAATCTCCTGTGTTTAGAGAAGGGGAAG